AGTTACACTGAATGGATTTAAGCTTTGTCATACTGATAATAATGGAATTGAACATGGTAATTAACTAAAATAAACCCACCACAATGATAAGCTAAAAAAACCAAACAGGCTCCTGCTGAAACTCATGAAAAATACATGTATGGAAAATGGATTAAATGATGATATGGTTACTGAGAAAACTATAATGATAATACTGTTTTAAGATTCCTCTCAAGACACTAAGCAGAAGCGGTCAAATATTAACATGCCATTAAGCTGTTTCTGCCATTGTGGCAGACAGTGCATGTGCACATGATGTCACTAGGGCTGAGATTGCATCTTACTGAGCGTACATGTCTGCAGCCAGACTCTACTGAACACAACTTGCTTAAACCGAGAATGAAGGTTAATAATATTAACCTAGTTTGCCCATGCTGAAAAATTTCTTTAATAATTTATGAATATCAGTCACCTGAATTTGAATTTTCCCTCTCTATCTATCCTATTAGCTTTACTATCTAGTGAGATGTTCGAAACTTAGCCAGTTAGCTTTAGTTACAGTAATGTTAAGAGTGTTTGTCACATTTGCTCAGGTGCATGTACCTAAAAAGTGTATGGATTTGCAATTCTTTGAGTAAATTCAAATAGCAGTTAATCAAGTAGCTTATAAGTTAAGAAAACAATCTTGTTTTTTTACTCAGCCTCAAATTGAAATCTTAATTCTACTTTTTTTCTGTTTATGACAAGGAACATAACCTAAAAAGGTTAAAAAGTCTATTTTGATTGTTGGTTGACTTTAACAATGCACCCCAAAGCATGGCACGAAGCTACCAGACCCCTCCTGAAAATCTCATTCTATTATGGTAACTTTTTAATGTTCTTGTTGTTGAAAGTGGGCTTAAAGAAAGCTGTTTCTAGATCTGGAGGAAGAGTACTCTTATCTTCCTCTATAATCAACTGTATTGCCTGAGGAAAGCTAGATAACCATACCTCAAAAAGAAGCAGCATGCTAAACCTTCAAAGGCTTTTAATTTTGTTTCTCTTTTTTACTCACGTAATTCCCTGGACAATTTCAATTAGGCCACAAGATTTGCAGGGGACAAGAGTGAGAAAACTGGACTAGTCACACATTTACAATACAAACAATAAAAACATTAAAAACAGATAATGCAATAAAACACAAATCTTTTCCTCACATGACAAGCAAATACTCTAGCAGATGAACAGACAACTTTCTACAATGAACTGGTCTCTGACCCATGATATAACTAGGCAGTAACAACAGCAAAATAACAGAGATTATATTATATAATAACACTTTCAAGATCTCTGTTGATTTAATAGCTCCAATAAAGGGCACTGGGAATTTTGTAAGGGATATTGTAATTTTTATGTGCTGTTAATAGTGATAAGTAGATGTCCCTACGTATCCACTGCACAGTCCTCAGAAATGCCTATAATTTATCAAGGTGCATTAACACCCACGATCTATCAGAATGCTCACAGTCAGTGGTACTCAGTAACCTAATGTGGTAAATTACATGACTGAATTCATCCATAGCATTGTTTACAGTTAAAAAATACCTGCAGAGGCAAACTGCTAGTTATTTTAATATATTTAAATTATATTTGAGCTATTTGTACAACCCTAGCCTAAAGTAAGAGTGGTAGATGCACCTACAGCTGACACATCACTAATAGAAACAGAAACACATTACAGCTACTCAGCAAACTTTGATCTCATACAACACAATGCCCAGAGTGATACAAGTGAAGTAATGCTGAGTGGTGAAAATGTTATTACAGTGTCCAAATAATATTGAAAATAATATATTTAAAAAAAGGTTTTATACTGAATTAATATTGATTTTGTTTTATGTTATGTTTTGTCAGTATTGCATTGGCATGTTCATTTAGCCAACACAGTGTAAGTGTTGGGTAAAAAAAAAGTCTGCCAAAAAAATAGGCCCAAAAAATTTGACTGTAAAAAAATCTGAATCGGCCATCAAAGTTCAAGATCAGTGCATCCTTTTAAAAAAATTGCCAATTTTTTCAAAAAGAAAAAAGCAATGGTGGGGTAATTTACGTTGTTCTGTTGTTGTTCCACTTGTCCTTGTGCAAGCTGATATGAAAAACAGCTAAAGCCCAGCCTTAAATTTTAATTTTACACTGGTAAAGGCACACACACACAACCCATAGAGACTTCTTCTTTTCAGTGAAAAAAACGCTTGGTTTCAAAGCAATTTCATTTTGGAACACAGTTGGATAGTTACTGAGTTACTGACCCTCAAAATGACTGTAAATAGCTAGTTCTCAAACTAACTTCACAAGACTGAAATATCTAATCTGTGCAGTTTTTACAATTGTGATTTTTATCCAAATATATATATGGCAGGCAAATTCATTTTATTCCCACATGCATGGTAACGACAAAATATAACAGGGTTAATCAATTCCAGTTCTTCAAGTAACTTTACAGTTACTGGCATTACAAACACAATTGGTGTCTTCAATTAAAAGCCAATACAGCTTAGTTGGGCTGTGTTCACCATACCAGAGTCATTACCCCAGTTGCAATCCAAGGCACAACATATATACACACCTGATTCAATTCATTGGCTATAATCACATTCTGCATGAGTTGAATCAGGCTGATTAGAGAGGGATGGAAACACACGTCTACATGAACTATCTATGAATTATCTAAAGTCAATGTGAAGAAAGAAATTCTTATTATTCTTATTATTAGTTCACTTAACTATTCTAGGACTAATCCTATCTGAAAAACTGCCCATAAACCCTGAAACTGCTGAAACTCTCCTGAAAAGCATCATTCAACATCATTTTCAACTTTCAATGCTGACCGGTGCTCTGCTAGCAGAAAAGGAAGATTTTAAGATCTGGTTCATTCTTTGGACAAAATGATTTGGATTGGTTATGCATTTTCATAAACACTGCGGAAAAAAAATACATTTTCATAAAAAAATTCTTTTGTCCAAAATATTTTTGTCATCGGTGTTATCTGAATGTTATTAATGTATTGCTCATTTTCAATTTTATATGTTTGGGTCACAAACTGAGATGTGGAGAAGTGTCATTTGAATAGGAAGCTTTTGCATTTCAGCACACAATAACTCCTGTCTGTCACTGGTATTACACTTTCTAAGACCTCACTATGTGATATTTGTTCAAAATAATTTCATAAACAAATTTGATTACTGAGATAACATTCTATGCAAGGTAATTTTCCTATATTTGTCAACAATTTTGAATTTTCTCTGTTTTGACCAAAGTTTCACAGTCACTGGTGTCACATTCACTGTCTGTAACACCAGTGACACAGTGTTACACAGGGTCACAGTTGGTTAAATGAGTATGCACATTAAAGACGACAGTATAATCTGCACATCAGTTTTGGTGGATTTCTGTATGCATTCAAAGTATTTCTCTTTTGGCTTTTTACTCAAATAAAGACAATTGTGCCATCACTTGTGTTACCAAGTGCCACTAGTATGACAGTTCGGTGCTGGTGCTGTGAAGTGTTATTGGTTTTAAAGTTTTGTGACTAGATTTTTCCATTTTCAAAGAATTGTGATCGTTTTAATGAAAAATATTAGATATACACTGTAAAAATGATTTGATGTTTTAACTTAAAAAGGTAAGTATCTTGATTGCCTTAAGTTCCTCTTGAGTTAAGTGGACTTCAAATAATAAGTTAGCTGAATGTAAAACAGATTATTCTGTATACCAGTGGTCAGCAATCCTGGTCCTAGATATCTGCCTGCCTGCAGAGTCTGATTCCTACCTCAATCTGCCACACCAGATTGGGTTAATTAACTTCCTCAGAAGTCCCTAACTGGCTGGCTCAAATGTGTTAGTGTTAGTTAGGAAAGAGGCAGCATCTTGATATAGGTTGGAAATTCTGCAGGAAAGTAGATCTCCAAGAGGAGGTTTGGAGACCACTGTATGTGTTCACAAAGATACCCTACAAATACCTTTTTTTTTTTTTACAAAACTTTTAAACCAAACAATGAACATTAATCAGTTGCTACATATTGTTTCATTCAATGTATTTATATGAAAAGTTTCAATTTCATTTTCGAGAAAATAACTATTAATGTAATAATACCAGAGACATTCATGCTAGAATCTTTTATTTTTGTGGACAACATCTTCTCTCTGCATTGCCCATTAAGCCCTGTTTTCATTAAAACTTTTAACAGAGGATACTGGGGGGAAAATCAATAGCTATTTAGTTTTAAGAGTTTATTTATTTTATTTTTAATTACTTTTTCCCACTTCAAATGCCATCCTGTTTAGAGAATTACCTGTCTGCATCTGAAAGCTTTTCATTCGTTATTGATTTATTAATTAGAAAAAAAAAAAAAAAATTAGAAATCCTGCTCATATCATTGTACATTAGCTATTACGTAAGTTATTGTGAGTAAAGGTTATTGCTGTGAGGTCTCTGAGGAACTAATATGTGCACTTCTCCTGTATTCACAAACGGTCTCCTTAAACTACTGGAATAGAAAGTGACGTCAACGCAGCTGCGACATCCGCTAATGGATATAGGACGGTGAAAACGGCTATTTTTCTCTAAACAGGCTTTGCTGACGTAGTATAAATCCACTTCTACGAGTTATTATTCCGTCTACTTCTGCAGATTATTTGCGTAACACAGGTGTATGAAGACGAAAATAAGACGTTTCGCTGGCTACGAGTAGATACTGAATTCCCCCTGCTTCACTGGAGCCGTGTAGCTTAGATGAGCTGCAGGCTTCACCTCCAGATGTGTTGACTAAATCCAGAGCAGGGAGCAATAAGATTTTTCTCACTTATATTTTCAGCGAATTATTTTAGCCTTTAATAATGCAGTAGCATAAACCCTAATTACAGACGAACCGAAGCAGGTTTTCATTATGAATAAGGCAACTATAAAGAGAAGACATTTCCAGTCACCAAATTAGACCTGTGCGAATATTCAATGTTGTCAAAACAATGCACCTTATTTTACTTACCTAAAATTCCCGCTGCAAAAAAATTCAGTAGTTTTAAATGATTAGTATCCATTTCGAAGAAATTACGAGTCCTAGGTTGGCTTCTCTGGATAAGATCTCAGCCTGACGATAAAAATCTGAAGAGAAACATAGGTCATGCCCAGTCATGAGAACTCGTACAGAATAGTTTGTTCCAGTTTCGCTGGCTCCACCGAATGCCCAGGTTTGAGAGTATTCACTGACACTGAAGAAAAGTGGTGGATAGGCTGCGAACATAACCCGATTATGTTAAGCGTCCTCCCTAAGCTTACGCGAGACAAACACTGGCCTCTGGTATGTTAACTTATGTTTCTGCTTCTTCTGCAACCGCCCCCATCTCCCCCCATACCCCTCTCTCCCACCCACACGCTAACTCATTCACTTCCAAAATAGGAAAATGACAGATTAAACAATTTCTGTCTTATTACTGGCAAAAATATGTGCGCATTCACATATCTTTTCAGTGTAACGGCAAGTACTGGGACAGCGTCATACACGTTGCCATTTTCTACTAATGTTGATTTGTATAAGGATGCGACGAAATATTGAAGCTGGGATTATGACCGATTGACGTATACCAGAGGTTGAGTAGTAAACTATGTGATATTTCTCTTCAGCATAGGTCTAATTTAAATAATAAAAAAACAGGCACAGATTTTCCCGATGCGATGTGATGCATGCATCCTCTGCAACATTTGTTCCAGGTGATCTGATTGGCATATACGTAAATTTACATTAATAATCCAGATAATTATTGATTTCAATCAAACGCATTACTGCGCTTCCTATGAGAATTCTCTGTGTTCCCGCATGGCGGCTAAATAATTAATGGTGACAAACATTAGGCCACAGTCCAGATACATATGCACGTGAACTGGTTCAGTATTCTTTTACTGAATGGCATGTGTCAGAGCATATTAAAAGGTGATGATCATCACTATAGCCTACACATGCCAAAGTATATTTGTCTTAGAGCGCACTCTTGTGGTTATGTTGGCATAACAGTAGCTCATTTAAGATAATTTACAACGGCAGCTCCCACTGCAGTCAGTGAAATTCTCAGTCTGATTTGAATGTTGCAATACATATTTTAGCAGGATACCTGAATAATGATAGACGTAATCATAATTAAGCAGAAATAAGAAACACTCTTAATAGCTTTTATGGCATAAATCAACAAATGATCTTAGTAAAGTAAATATGTGCTGATAACTACTGCATTTGTAACATATGGGCAGGGCAAGTTAGTGTCGCTTTCTTTCTGTCATTACTGACCATTATGGAGTTCAATCTGTCACCAGAACCTGAACCTGAATTGGTAATTCTGAACCTGAATTTGTGACACTGAGTCCGAATTCCTGATGCTTTTTGTGGTCGAGAAATTTTGGTTGTAAAATTCACGTCTGGAAGTTCAAGGAAACATCCGGGCGTACTCGGTAAGTCTAGATGTTATCGAACTCACTCATGGCCAATCACCAAACACCTCTGAGGTCACGGAGAGGGGTTTCTTTGTCACCGTGTACATGCCGAAGAAGGACCACAGCAGAAGAGCACGCCAGTGGAACGTTTCCAATTGTAAGTTGCTTATTTTTCCTTTCTTTTTATATAACTTAACATTAGGTACTAGTATTTATTGTTTTATTGTTTGTTTTGTACAGATATAAGCTGATGCGTGATTTTTGTCTTAGGACGCACGCGAGGCGGAGCACCGGTTAGCGGGCCAGCCTGTTAGCATCCGCGTTACAATCACTTTTCCTACACTTAAGTAGCCTAAAGGTCATGTAATCATTCGTGTGCAAGTAAAGTAAATTTGTGAGGAAGAGTATTTATGCACGTCAGCTGACCTGCCTTGCAGCACGTTATAAAACTAGATAAGCGCAAATTCTACCACATATTTGAACAAGTTCATGTTTAACATGAACCATGCTCATGAACGAGAGAGAGATGGAAGAAAGGAGGTTGTCAGCAGCAGGTTAATTAACGTAGCTGAGATTGTTGTTATAAATCTGGTCACAATATGCTTTTATGAATGTCATCAATATCATTAGTACTTTAAAAAAAGCATTACTCAATTGCATGGTTGATTACAAAGAGAGTATAATTAGTTCTGTTTCGTGGGATTTAATGCAGTTCAGTATGTGAAATATTGTGTCAAAACCATTGGATTCATAGTTTTTCATAGTAAGTTTTTAATTATTCCACTACTTTCTGTTCCAACTTGTCTCATGACGTGTTTAATGAAAACGTCTTGTTAATGACAAATATATGAATGTAATCTAAATGGAATATGAGATTAAGAGTATGCTGACCTGGTCAGGCTAGACGTTTTATGAAACTAAGTCACTGTAAAACTGGAATATACAAAGGAAAAATGTTAGACTGTCTGTTACAAAATGTATATGATTTAACTAGAAATGCAGCAATATATAAATATGATCTGCTCTTAACATCCCATAAGGGTGATAGTGGAAAGTAGCATTATTGCAGTAGTTAAAAAATGCTAACACAAAGGCTTCTCAGGAAAGGTTTTTTCATTAAGCGTTGCTTTGATATGTTTATTAATGTATCCAGCTGTCCGTTTAAACAAAATCAAGATTCTTGAAATGATTAGAATATTCCATCCCAAAGATTACATTATGTTCAAGCATATTAACTGTGTTGAGGCTCAACTGTGAAAGTTGATTCTATCTGCCACCTAAGTCTACCTTAACTTGTTACTCCTGTAGACTTGGAGAACTGTACATTTTAAATGTCATCTTCCCTAACAAACCTGATTGAAGTTAGGAGCTCATTAGCAGAATATTGATAAGGTGTGACAGCCTGGACACCTAGGAGGGTCCCCAAGGAGCAAGACTGTAAAACACTAACTTACCATCAGCTCTGTATGTGTGTGGGTATGTAGATTATACAGGAGTAGCTAGTTTATTAGGTAGCTTGTACCCATGTTTATCGATATGTGTAGTTCAGTTAGCATGATTAGTGTCAATATTTTTCATGTTTTAATGAGTTTCATGTTACAGGAAGCTCTTAGGCAGGATTGCGTGAAAAGGCTCCGGACAAGGCCTGAACATGCTCTTTCAAGTAACACTCCAGATTTTGACTACATGCTTTGTGTCATCAGTTAAGAAAGAATCTTCTTAAGTGCCGCTGGTCTTGGCTTCCTTCCAGATGAAGTGACTGAGGCACTGGATGGACTATACTCTGCCCTGTGCTTACACGGTCTTTATTATCTATCATTCTTGTTTTCAGCTATACTTGTGCTTGTATTTTAGAATCAAAAGGACGCCCGTACACCATTTTTTTTCCAACTACTTTGTTTAAATGTAATAGTTTGGTCATTTGAGTTTTATTCATGATGGGTATACTTGTTGTATAACTAAAGGGTTTGGTCATAATATCCAATTACGATTTTTCTGACCAATATTGTAATTGCAATTGTAATGCAATTATTTTCTATAAGGTAAATTAGATTGGATTAGATTCTACTTTGTCATTGTACAGAATACAGGTACAGAGCCAATGAAAGGCAGTTTGCATTTAACCAGAATTGCAAAATACAGTATTATTTACATATAAAGTGCAGAGGAACAGTATAGTGGTTAAATAAAAGAAATGCTTCCTGAACCTGCTGGTGCAGGAGCGGAGGCATCTGTAATGCCTGCCAGATGGGAGATGGGTGAAAAGTCCGTGGTTAGGATGAGAAACATCCTTGATGATGTTCCTCACACTGCCCAGGCAGCGCTTATGAAAAAAAAGGTTCTCAATAGATGGTAACTTGGCACCTGTAATGCGTTGGGCAGTTCTCACCACCTGCAGTGAAATTCCACTGATTTCACATTTTCTGCTTAATTCAATGGTTTAGATGTCAACAAAGTGTTTCAGATTCGGGTGTGGTGTGAAATGGTTCATTGGAGAGGAACGTACAGCCTCAAATTTCTTTACAGTGGTGGTAATAGGAATCAGGGGTCATCTACAACACAAATACAGCCATTTTCATGTCCAAAGCTGCCAGCTAAGTGTACATTGTATTTGGAGTTTTTATATGTAATGCTGATAAAGGAAAACCTGTAAAAATATTTTTTTAAACATCTAAACCATTGAAATCAGCAGAAAATGTGACAAATCAGTGTAATCGCGCATTCTACAATGTACTGTGCTTTTTGAGACTCTGGGAATGTTGGCAACAGATGATGCTGATAGTCAAATCTCAAAAAGGTCATTCAAATGTTCCAGTGTAATGTTAAAGCTCAAACGTCCATGGTGTCCCATCTCCCAAAAAACAGAAGAGGGAGAGTCTGGTGATGCAAGCATCCAGTGCCTCCTTCAAGGTAGGAAGCCAAGACCAGCTGCAAGAAGATTCTTTCTTGACTGATGACATAATGTAGTCAAAATCTGGAGTATTACTTGTAAGAGCATGCTCAAACCTTGTCCGGAGTCTTGACATGCCATCCTGCCTAAAAGCTTCCTTCTACATGAAACATGAAGCTCATTAAAACATGAAAAATATTGACACTAATCATGCTAACTGAACTACACATACCAATAAACGTGGGTACAAGCAACCTCATAAACTGGGTACTCCTGTATAATTACACACCCACAAACAAACAGAGTTGATGTTAAGCTAGTGTTTTACAGTCCTGCTCCTTGGGGACCCACAGCATAGCACATTTTAGGTGTCTGGTCTGTCACACCTAATTCACCTTATCAAGCATTCTGTTAATGAATTGTTGGGAAAGATGACTTTCAAAATGTACAGTGCTCTGAGTCTACGGGAGTAACAAGTTAAGGTAGAGTTAGTTAGGCAGATAAAATCAACTTTCACAGTTGAGCCTCAACACAGTTAATATGCTTATATATAATATTTTGGATGGAATATTCTAGTCATTTCAAGAATCTTGATTTTGTTTTAATGGACAGCTGGATACATTAATAAACATATCAAAGCAACGCTTAATGAAAAAATCTTTTAGGGGATGTTAAGAGCAGATTGTTTTTATATTACTGCATTTCTAGTTAAAACAGAAATTCTGTAACAGACAGTATCATTTTTTCCTTTGTAGAGTGCAGTTTTAGAGTAATGCCGGCCTTATACCAAACGACTTTGAGTGATTTCACTGCCGCAGACAAATTTCCAATGTCGGAATAAAATCGTGAGTCTTGTTAGAGTCGCAGTGCGCTCGCGTCATCTCGATCGTTTAGTGTAAGGTGGTCAAGATGGCCGTCTTAAGTCAGTCTTTTTCTCGTGTTGACGCTGCGACAAAATCAATATTGTTTAATATTATCAAAAGTTTTAAATATTCGCCCATGCAAATAGAGACATGCCAGGGGC